CAATTGTCTTTACTTTCAAATGGAGTTATGTATCGATAATCTCAACAATGTTTTGGAAACTAAGAAATCTTTGTTTAATGAATTGATGACTAGTTTTGAGTTTTATATATCGTATCATATATTTCGTAAACTCATAAAATGTGTGCAATATTTACACGAAAAGCATATCATTCATAGAGACCTCAAACCGGATAATGTGTTGATTACACGGAAAGGGAGGATAAAGTTATGTGACTTTGGTTTGGCTAAAGAGGTCCCAAATTGTGATCCGTTTCTTACGTCTAAAATCAAACATACGGCAGATGTGGGAACTGTTGATTATATGGCACCGGAAGCCCAGACTAATGAATACAACCACTTAATAGATATCTACAGTCTATCTCTAATAGGGTCTCAAATCTTTGGTTTCAATGTAAACGATATAATCGACGGAAAGTATGAATTGATTTTTAAATAATATTGTTATAAAAATATATTAATCACTTTTATTAATATGTATAATTTAACTTGTATAACCCAAAATAATATTTAAATTTTAGGATTAAAACAAACACAAAATATAACAAAGATATGAATGAATGGATGCATAAAATGAATACATTATTGGTGTCAATGAGTGTTAATAAGTATCGCAAAAATGGTTCAACAGATTGGAGGCAAAGACCCGAATGTTCGCACATTTTATTACAATTGCAGACATTTATGACAAATAAACTCATTATTGGAGACAAAGAATTTAATTCCTTATTAAATATCATTATAGACAGAAAATGTTATATATTTTACTATCTATTTATGGAAAGCAAACCGTTTTGTATAATCCATAGGACAAATGGAAATATAACTAATGGTTAGATATTTATAGTTTAATATTATTTAAAAGTGCAAACTTTAACATTTACAATATGTCTGTTTGTAGATACAACTGACATTAACGCAATTAACCAATCAATGTATCAAATAATTTCGGAACATATATATCGCGGGCAAACATTTGAAATATACCAAGTTAAACATAAAATATCTAAACAAATTTATTCTTTATACATAATGAATCTAAAATATTTTGGTAAGACTTATAGTAATTTACTTTGTATGTGGTAAATATAAATTAATAGTATTTTCAACTCTACTTTAATTTTATTTAGAAATATCAAAGTATATAAATTCATAAAATACATGTTATAGTCCACAAAAGCATATGTATAGAACCGCTCTCACTGTAGTTCAATAGTGTGTGTCAAGTACTGAACCTTTACAGTATGTGTACTTTATATACTTTATTAAAATAGATGTAATTCCCTGTTAAGAAAAGGTTTGAGCGTACTGGCTCCAAAATTAAAATATTACTGTCTCTGTAAGCAATTACCATTATTAGGAAAATATGGACATATTTAGAATAAAATTTCTTTGTGATAATTTGTTCAACTATTATCCATTTTCTTATATTGATATTTTAAACTGGTTTAAATTAAACAAACTAATTTTATATGTAAATTCTCTCTAGCTGATTCGCGAAAGTGCCTTGAAGCTTTGTCTGAATATGCGATTAAAAACGAGTACAACTCATGGATAGAAAATATTGAGATATTCATTCAAATGAAATTATGTTCAGACGATGAGATTGAATTAATTGGCAATGGTCTGGATCAACTGGATAAGAAATAAAATGTGTTTAGTATTAACATCAAACATAATTGTTCATAATTACCATTATAGTCTCAAATAAAATTTGTAAACTTATCTTATAATATAAAATTGTTCATGTTAGATACAATTAATATAATTATAGTCATTTAAGTAAAGTATATTCATTCAGGTAGTTATATGTAAACTATGTGACATTTATAAATAAGTTATTTTCTTACTTTAATTATCGATTAACAATACCCTTTACTCTAATTTTAATATGATTTATTATTCTACAAGTTTTACAAGTGTTCAACATGTAAAGCTTCAACATTAAGTTCAACATTAAACTAAAGAAATTTATGCTAGGTGTGATTGATGATGCAATGGAAAATTAATAATAAATGAATATTTTACCAAGCATAAATGTGATTTAACCCTTAGTCCGTCCCGTGGCCGATTTTTAGGTAAAATCAACTTTGAGCATTAATTGTAATTTTATTAAAAACTCCACAAACGAATAATTTCAGGAATGCCTCGTGAAGTTATTTAAGAGTATAAATAATTAATCAGAATCATAATTAATTATGTTATAAACTAAACTAAACTAGAAATCAATATTTCACTCATTTATAAAAGGCCTAAATTGTTGATTTCCTATTTGTCATGCACCAAATTATACAGTTAATGCTATCCTATTTTTCGGCCACTGTGCAATTAGTACGCTGGCCTAATTTTTGGCCACCTTACACTACATGATAAACATAGATCATATTATTTGGCCACCGTACACAACTATTAAAAATATAACGGTGCAGAGGGAGGGTTAAAGTGTGCGCATTAATAAATATAATTTTAAAAATCTATGAATTTTAAAATTAATAAAATATTAAAACAATTATTAAATCTTTATTCAGACATAAATCATGTACAATAATTATGAATTGAATTTGAAAGCTAAAATCCAACGAATTCATTTCAGTTTAAATTAACCATGATGCGATACGTAATTCATTGAGTCGGTCAAACTCTGAAAGAAACATTTTCAAATTACGGCAACTGTCCACCGGCTCGGGTATGTTACGAGTACAGGTCTTAGACTCTATGAACAAACTTCTATATAATAGCTTTATCTATACGGCAAATAACATATAAATTATTTAACTATTATTTGGATGTAACATATTTATCGACATAATCTGTAATCAAATCAAATACAGTACATAAACATTGTTTTAAATAAAGAATATAATTATAAAATATGATATAGCTAAAATTCAATTTTATGCGTAATGTGCGTCAATTATTAATCATAACTAGGACAATGACCTTCCTTGATTAGACAAAGACCTTTGTATTTCATACAGAATGCGATCCATTCATTTACTTTAAGACAATCAAGCAAAAACACGTCCCAGTTATTGCTGTTCAAATTTTGAGTTGAACTGGGTTATTGTGTTCATAATTGGGTTATTATGAGTTTGTATTTATAATTGACCTTGTACTTTATAATATCCTTGCCCTCCTGGATGTCCTGTTTTTGGAAGTTTTCGTGAAGGCTTGAACGGCCGTCGATGACGATGTCTTATTGATCACCCTGGGCAATTAGCATCAATACAAATGCCAAAATGCGTCTCATTTTATTATTGAAAACTTGTTAAGGGATCATTCACAAAGTACGTACGCAAAAATATGGTCAAAAATTGACCCCCCCCTCCCCCCTAGTTGCTCATCGTACGCATATCACGACCCCTCCCCTCAAGCGTACATACACTTCGATCAACCCCCCCCAACAAAGGGAGAGCCGTTTTTAACTGTAATCTCATTATTCACGTAAATAATTGTCACTAATCTATTCCAGTAATTATAAATTGA